TTCACACGATGCCGTTGCGTGCCACTACACACGTTAATGTTAACATGTTTCGTAATCTTGGAATGTGATGAGCACTTACGTGGCAAAAACGGGAGCATGTTCATGAACGCTGAGTGTTCGTAGGGTGTCGGAAGTTGCTTGGATAGTCTTTACGCTTCGATCCCAGCGTATGTCCCACAGCTTGACCTCACCGCCACGGCAGCCGCTCACAAGTTCACGCTGTCCACCACGCTGCAGGTGAACGTTGGTGATCCATTGCTTGTGCTCTTTCCAGACCTTGACCATGGCGGTGGCGGGCTTTTGGCGTTGATCGTATACTCGGATGGCACCATCACCAAAACCAGCAACAAAGACATCTCCCTCGACTTGATCAGAGGTTAAGGATGTAATACAAGAACCGGATCGTGCGGGAAGGTCCTACTCAGGTCAGCTACGACATCACGGATGCGGAGAGCGCAACTTACATTGGTGCATACTTCGGTCCCAGCGTTCCACACGCGAATGACCTTCACGTCGCCAGCAACTAGGATGAGACCTCTTCCTTGCTGCCAATCGAATACCAGACCGGCGTTCTTGTTACTTGAAACAAGATCAGTAAGCGCGCGGAATCCTGTCACTAGTTCTGTCTCTCCTTTACGGTCGTAATTGCGGAATATCTTGATTACACCATCCGAGGATCCTGTCATTAGTAGTGCCTGGTCGTCCTCGTTGATGAATCGCACGTCCGTTATTCTCGACTCGGGAGGGTTCCCGTTAGAGAAAGAATTGATTCTGTTGACCGACTTTGAGTAGTCGAAAATATTGACAGTATCCCGTGTATCTGTCACTACGAGATGGTCCTCAAACTGGTGGAAACACATCTTGGCAGGTTGGCTGAGGTTGTCGAAATATCCTCGTGGCACGTCCCAACGATTGGAAACGGCAATGTCCTTCAACGGCTGAGTCTCGGCAATGATCCTGTCGTTACGGTTCCTCCGCCAGAGTCTGCCATTATAGTCGGTACTTCCTGGTTCGTCGGCTTCTGTGGGCTTCATCTGAGGTTCGCGGAAGTACTCTACGGACCATTCGAAGAATACACTCTTAAGTGGGATTTCTGGTTTCTCCGTCAAGTTCCTGTTCTTGAACCCTCGTGAGGTTGGCTGCTCTACGGTATGATACTTTTCAGGTGTCTGGGGGCGAGAGACCGCGGGAGTGTGGGCATCATCGGCAGCAGATCTCCCTGAAGATTTCTGTCGAGGGCTTGCTGAATCTTGGCCAGCCCAGAGATTCTTCAGCGAAGCACCGACACTCGTGGACTTTCGGATGCCACCGAAGAGTGACAAGTAGGTTGAGTCTTTGGTCGGTGTTGGGGGATTCGAGGCTTTTTGCGGCGCAGAAGTCACTTCTACTGCACGGCGCATGGGTCGAGGAGCTGGCGCGTTTTGGAGAGCTTCGTCTAGTTGGGGCTGTACAAACTTGGCTAGAGACGACTCGATAAGTGATATCAGGATGTAATCAACAACAATTCCAGCGTCTTTTGCGATCTCCGGATGCGGATCGACTGACATGACCAGCAACTCTTTCCAAATGGCAGAGTATATGGTATTTTGCGAACAAGACGTCGATTCGGAAGCACTGCCCGTAGCTCCTGTACGTGCTTTCATGTGGAGCGCATCGGGGTTCTTGTCATCAGATTGCTTTGTGTCTGAGTTGGCGTAATCCTCCGATAGTTGCTCGAATGCGGCAACGATGAACCGGGTCTTGTAGCGGGCAACGAACGTTGAGAAAAAGATGAGAAGCTCTTTGCGCACCATACTATTACCGTCCATGGTCATAATGAGGATCATAGACGCGATGGACTCTTCGATGTTGGCCACCTGTGGGGTAACATCGCGGATACCAAGGAAGGACGCCAATGCATGCAGCATTGCTGCCCGTACCTCAGCAACGGGGTCCACGATTAGCTCGCAAAGTCGTTCATGTGCCATGCACCGTATGCCGACCCACTTGGCTTCTTCGTAGTTGACCCAGAGCTTGCTCAGACAAAGGCACGACCATTGCCTGAGCAACGGGTTCTGCATATCTTTGAGATGATCCAAGCAGCTCTCTACAAGCTCTGTGCTTAGTGAAGCACGTTGTCCTTGGTTGTAGTCTTTGCAGAACATGGAGACTATGAAGGCACACATTGCGCGGTGTTCGCTTGCGTTCTGAATAGGTATACCTGTTTGAGTTTAGCTAACAGGCAGTCTTTTGGATTGAATCTTGAATACCAGAATTGGGATTGAATATGTTGATGAAGTACTGATAGCCGTTGTCCTTGAGAAGATCGGCTTGGCAGGACTGATCGACGGCAAGTATTCGGGCCCAGATGAATACCATGACTGGCTTGAGCTCATTGGCTTGCGATTGTAGTAGCTTGAGGACGTATGGGAAGATGCCAATGCTGAGTGCAAGATTTACAGCCCAGGGGCCATGATCTAAGAAACTCGACAATAGGATCAACGCTCGGAGACGATGCACTTGACTGAGTAGTACTTGGAGCACTATAGGAAGTTGTTCCGGTACCTTTTGCTCCACGGCGCCCTGTGTCAGGTATACCTCGAAAGCGGTCAGCTGTTCAGAGAAGAAGTCGGAGTGTTTGTAGTTGAAATCTTTTTCTCCGCGTGCTTCGGCCTGCAAATCCGGCAGCTGAGCCAGGATCAGCTCAACGGCCAAGTCCCAACTGCGCCAGAGCGGGTGGTTGTGTGTTTGGGGGATCTCGGGATGGGAGACGGGATTGCAGTGGTATGCGCGCATGACGCGCTGTGCAAGAAGATAGTTGCGGAATAGAGCAGCAACCATCAAGTCCTGACGGAACAGTTTCTTGAACAGAGGTTTGGAGAGAGAGTTCCACGCAATGGTATCGGTAATGGCTGTGAAGATCCAGTTCAGCTCACCAATAGGCGTTCTACGCTCAGAGACTTTGCCTGGAATATTGTGGGCATCTCGTAGGCTGACCTTGCTCGGGAGTGGGTTTTGCAAGATGAAGAAGCGTACTGCCATGGTTATGGGGTCAGTTAGACAGGATGTGAAGATATCAGCAGGCAGCTCGGGGTTAGTAGGGAGAGACTCGCGCTCTCTGCATGCTGCCAGATGGATGCAATCACTGAAATCGACATGCTCGACGCTGGGATCTCTCCGGCGCGCCTCTTCAAACTCGGCCTGGTGTTTCTCGGCAAAGCGGTTGAAGTTGCTGATGATGAGGCCAGCATCGGAGCAGTCATAGACGAACAGACTAGGTGCGCCAATCCAGGATTGCAAGTCGTAGAGCGACAAGGGAATGTACTGCGTGTAGTTTCTGTTAAAGACCCAGATCTCGCCGGAAGACGTTGGTTTGGGCACGCCATGGCCGTTGTAGTGGAACAAGACTCGCTCATTGCGGGCATTCCGGCGCAGAGTTGACGCGTATTTCCTCGTCTCTTCGGTTGTGGGGTCTAGCAGCAGTTTGTAGCGCGTGCGCATGCTCAGCTGCTCGTACTGGGTCTGGAGGGCCTTTCCGATCTGGTTCATGGGCGTGTGGCCGGGCGTCTGGGAGGTAACCGTCGGGTCGATCCAGCACTCCTCCTTGGCACACGGGTTGGTCTTGATGACGTCTGGGGGATCAACGCCAATGTTGAGGCAGAGAGCGAGGACAGCCGAGACGGTCTTGAGGCGGTCCCGCATGCGCCATTCTTGGACGGGGAAGGCACAGTCCTGGTTCTTGGGGTGGCCGCCCGTCTCGTGTTTCTTGTCGGTGTAGTACATGAAGAAGTTTGAGGTGAGCAGGTTGCTGTACTCCTCCGAGTTGAGCTGGTCGTCCCAGCCATGGCGGATCTTGAAGTGGCCGTCGACGCTTCCCTCGTCGGTGCTCTCGGGCGGGAGGGCCGGATGGCGCGGCCCAAAGTCGCTCTTCGCGCGCAGCATGCTGGGACGGGCAGACTGAGGGCCTATCGAGGCAGGGCGGGCAGGCGGCGCATGTTCGTCGACGGGCGAGGCAGGCGCGGCATCGGCGGCGGCAGCGGTGCTGGGGCGCGAGGAGGCAGCGGGCTCGGGGTGGTGGGCGCCGTTCATGTCGAGGGCCACGGGGGCGTGCGAGGCAAGCGGGTTGGGGTGCGTGTGGCCGCTGGCGAGAGGCAGTTGGTCGGCGGTTCTCATGGTGAGCTTCAGCGAGCAGCGACGATCGTGACGGGGCCCATAGCGCGAGGCAGTGGCAGCGGGACGCGTGTGGGTGAGAGCGACAGGCACGAGTATGGGCTGTGGCAGTGGACGTCACGGCAATGGCACGTCTATTGCACAGTGCGCGTGGATCTAGGGCAGCAGAGGTGAGGGAGCTCGACAGTGCATGTCGTCGGCGCTAGGCCCGAGCCAGCGCGCGGTGAGAGATGCGCTCCACCTAGGCACCGCGACCACGGAAGGCCAGAGCTCGGGTGCAGCGCGGATGCAGTCAGTCTCGCATGGTTCGGTCGCAATGCTGGCTGGCCAACGGCGCAAACACTGGCTAGCCTCTGCACCATCGCGACGCGCCTCTGGCACTGAGGCGTCTTTGCAGGCCCGTATGCATGCTCCGGTGGCTGCAGCCAATGGCACGCCCGTAGCCTCGTCGGCGTCCGCTGATCCTCCCGGTCTCAGGGGCGCAAGGTGAACAGAGCAGACCGACCACCGTAACCCGTTGTCCGCCTGGTCGTCTTTCCTTGTGTGTCTACCGGACGTGTCGCCCTTGGAACTGCTGCGCCGTCGTCTGCCTCCGCATCCTCAGCAGGCCATAATACAGCCCCCCAAAAGCTGCCGCCGCCCATCCCTACCACGCTCTGCTGTCCTCTCCCCAGCCGTACGACATGCGCGCGCGCCCCGTCCATTGCTCTGCCTAATTACCTCACCCTCGCCAGCCCAGCCTCTGCGTGCGCTCCGCCTCTCCTCCCTCTGTCTCTGTCTCCCAGGCCGAATGCGTGCGCGATAGGCCCCGGCCGCTCCTGCACCACCGCCCTCGCACCACCGCCGCCGCCATGTCCTTTCTCTTCGGCAAGAAGAGCAAGCAGCAGTCGAATACGCTGCCCCCAGCAACTCGGGAAATCACCTCGTCGCATGGCCCAGGCCAACCACCCCCCGCCGTCAATGGCACTGGCTCACGCGAACTCGAGAAGCCCCGTGGCGGCCCCCCGTCCCAGACACCCACGCCCGGCACCAGTGTGAACAACTCGTTGAGCTCCCTCCAAAATCCTGCAAATGCGCCCACCCCCGAGCCCAAGGCCCTGCGGGAGAAGGCCGACACCAACATTCAGGTACGCGCCATCGCAACTTCCTCGTGCCGCGCCTGTGCTGACTGCGACAGAACACGAATCCCAGATTTGCCGGCAATTCGCCAGACTCGCCTTACCCCTGGTCCTCCCGCCGCCTGAACTTCACCGCAGGCAATCCGTTCCCGCGATACGGCGCCGCCATCAATGCCACGGCTTCCAAGGATGGCACCATCTACCTCATGGGTGGACTGGTGGGCGGCGCGACGGTCAAGGGTGATCTGTGGCTGACAGAAATGGGCAACGGCAGCATGGCCTGCTATCCCATCTCCACCACGGGAGACGGCCCTGGTCCCCGCGTCGGTCACGCCAGTTTGCTCGTTGGCAATGCATTCATCGTCTTCGGAGGAGACACCAAACTGGCTGACAACGATGACCTGGACGATACCCTGTATCTCCTCAACACATGTGCGTAAAGCCTGGATGGCCTATACCTCCGACTAACGTGTCGCAGCTACAAAACACTGGTCGCGCGCACTACCACAAGGCCCCCGTCCCACCGGTCGCTACGGACACACCCTAAACATCCTCGGCTCCAAGATATACATTTTCGGCGGACAGGTTGAGGGCTTCTTCTTCAACGATCTAGTAGCGTTCGACCTGAATTCATTGCAATCTTCGGCCAGCCGATGGGAAGTGTTACTACCAAACACCAAGGAACAGGCCTCTCCACAGGGCAGATCCCCACCAGCCCGCACCAATCACTCGGTGGTGACTTGGAACGACAAGCTCTATCTGTACGTATCCCAATTTCTTGCCTTGTTCGAACTTTGATTGACTGATTGTTTTCAGGTTCGGTGGCACAGACGGCATCACCTGGTTCAACGATGTCTGGACCTATGAGCCACGTTCCAACGCGTGGACGGAGCTCGACTGCATTGGTTATATTCCCGTAGCCCGTGAAGGCCATTCTGCCGCCCTCGTAAACGACACCATGTACATCTTTGGCGGGCGCACTCAGGAAGGCGTTGATTTGGGCGACCTTGCCGCATTCCGGATTTCCTCCCGCCGCTGGTACATGTTCCAAAACATGGGCCACTCCCCGTCAGCCCGATCAGGACATAGCATGACCGCATTTGGAAAGCACATCGTCGTCTTGGCTGGCGAGCCCAGCTCTTCAGTCAGTGACAGGAACGAGCTCAGCCTTAGTTACATACTGGACACATCCAAGATAAGGTATCCGCCCAATGAAAGTGCTCCTCCACCACAACCGCAGAACACCCAGCGGAAGATGAGTGGTGGTGAGAGAAGCAACGTTCCTCCCGCTAAAGTCGGCTCCCCTCCAACGCGCGAGAGCATGATGTCCGGCCCCCAAATGACAAGAGCCCCAGAGAACATGGGCAACGGTATTAATCCAGGATCACGGCTGCCTCGTGCAGCTAATCAGGGGCCCCCAGGCCCTCCGCCACTTCAGCAGCCTCCGCAACCTCGTGAGAATGGCGTTGTCGTACAGGGTGCCGCGAAGCCCAGGAGCAAGACTCCCACCAAAAACGAACGCGGATACGGCCCACCTATCGATACGGGAGCTGTATCCGCCGTGGATAGAGACAACATGTCACCCATGACCCGCGACAGCCCGTCTACGAATGACATGCAAAGGAAGGCTTCGGATGCTGTAAGCCAACGTACCCCGAAGGAGTCTATGGACACTATGCGCACCGCTAGCACCACCGTTTCACGGAACACGTCCAAGTCTCACCGTGCGCAAGCTTCTCAAGATAGTACAGACCAGGCAACGAGGCAGTCTTTCGAAACACAGCAGCATCGCGGCTTTGTCCGTGACGCTGATCAATTACCCAGCGAAGGCCTGAAGAACGCATCGCTCGCCAACGACCAGAGAAATGCTGACCTGGTCAGAGAACTTGAGCACGTCAAGAGTCGCAACGCATGGTACGCCTCCGAGCTTGCACTTGCCCGTCGAGCAGGTTACAGTTCGGGCAACTCCACAAGTCCTGTATTTGATGAACGATCGGCCGACGCGTTTCGGGATGAAGACAGACCTTTGCTGGAGGCGCTTCTTAAGATGAAGACCGAGCTTGAACGAGTGCAAACGTCAATCAAAGCCCAAGGTGACGATGCTGCAAAGAGGATCGCTGAAGTGGAGAGGCAGCGGGATGCAGCCGTCAGCGAAGCCATATACGCAAAAACCAAGTTAGCGGCTCATGGAGGCGGTAGTCAGAACGGAACCCCACAGCCAGATGGAGCTCGAAGCACAAGTACACCTGACGCCGATCGCCTCCAGGACATCAGTCGTCGATTAGCTACATCCTTGGCTGCTCAGGGCGACCTGGCTACCAAGGTGGAGCATTTGACTCGTCAGATTGACGCCGAAAAGAAGGCCAAGCAGCTAGCAGAGGAAACCGCAGAAGCTGCGCAGAAACGCGTACAAGAACTGGACTCGACCCGACAAAAGGCTACGGCTGAATCAGAGAGTTTACGCGCCGAGTTGCACGAAGCTGAGCGTATCGCAAGAGAAGTTTCCACTAGCGCCGCAGAAGCGGAATCGGCATCAAAGCTGCTAGCCATCGACAAGCAAGAGCTGAGCGCCAGGGTTGCTAAGGTGTCCGAAGAATCGAAAACTCAGTCTTCCGTCATTCAATCTCTACGCGATGCGGTTTTTGCATCTACAGAGAAGTCAACATTGTTGGAAAAGAAACTGAACGAGGAGCGGACGCAAAGCGAGAACCTGCGCCAGAAGTTGAGCCAGCTTCGTAGCGAATACGAGGCACGCGTTCTGGAACTGGAGACTACGACACAGAAGCTTCGCGATGCGGAGGAGCTAGCGGAGAGCCATGCAGAAGAGGCACGCCTTCATCGAGCCACTGTTTTCTCTGGTCTGCAAACGATGACGGAACGTTCCGAGCACGATGGCGCAAATGCCGATGAGCGCGTCGTGGTGCTGCAACAGCAAGTCGAAGCTGCAAATACCATGGCCCGCAAGAACCAGACAGCAGCTGATCAAGCGTCGGAGAAGCTTCGACGAGCAGAAGAACGAATCGCCGGTCTTGAGGCCTATCAAGAGCAATCTAGTCGTGAGGGGCTGACCATCCGTAAACAATTACAACAGGCTATGCGAGATGTACAGCTCTCCGAAGCTGAACGTACCGAGCTTCGCCAACAACACGAACGTCTGCGTCTCGAGAGCAATGCGTTTGAAGTTCAACTCAAGACTCTTCGCAATCTTCTTGATGAAAGAGGTGTGAATCCTGTTGACACGCGACGCTCGAGGGTACTAGACAGTCCAAACTCAAGATTTGGCACACCGGAGTTCAACCGCGTTCGCGAGCTGGAACAACAGGTGGATTCTATGACCAAAGCACATGAGGAGTTGCGTTCCATGTTTGAGGAGCGTGAGCATGAGGTCAGTAAAGAATGGGAGGAGAAGCTACAGGCGCTTCACAACGACCACCAAGCTGCCGTCAAGTACCTCCGTGGTACAGAGAAGATGCTCTCGAAGATGAAACAGGAGCTTGATCGTTACAAGAGCGCGAACCTGAAGCTCGAGGAAGAACTCACTCAAGCGAGACAAGACAAGCGTAGCCCTGCTGACGAAGCTAATCACGCCGAATTGGACGCAGAACGCACGGCACTCCGCTCGGAGTTGGACAAGTCGCGGGAGAACATGGAAGCTACCGTTTCGCGTTTCGAGACCCAGTTGTCCAAACTGCAGTCCGATCTGGCTTCCGCTCGCGCCGATGCCGAGACGGCAACGAATGCCACGAAGCAGGCCGAGCATCAGGCGGCTCAGTTCCAGGCAGACCTCGAATCGCTTCGCCGACAGTATGCACAGACAGAAGAGCGTGCACGCGAAGCTGAGAGCCGCGTCCAAATGTTCCTCGATCAGTTTGAGACATCGGTCGATAACTACCGCCGCCAATCCCAGGTTCCGGCTGAGAACGCCCACCCTGAACACAGTCGCCACCGGGCACACGATAGCGTTGCATCGGCCGAGTCTCTGTACAGCCACAACGATGGCTCCAGCACGCCAGAAGCCATACCCCGCCCTTCATCTTCTGCTACACGAAACTCAATGGCCCTTGACAATCTCGCTTCTGAGTTGGACGCACTCAGGAGTCACTGGGAAACTACCAACAAAGCTTACCGATTGAGCGACCGCTTTGATTTTGAACGCATGCCTGAAAACGATAACAACGACGATGTGGATGAACTTTCGCAATGGAGGAAGAGGGTGGAGAGCGACGATGGTCCACAGACTGCCACAGGCAGCCAGGGCCCAAATTCTGTTCAGCCGGCTGCAACCATGATCTCGCCTACACAAGTCCACGGATCTTCGTAAAGGCACACACGAACCTTGAAACGCTTTGCTGCTACTTGATGGGACATGTGTTCAGCGATTTGTAAGGCGTAATTTGGTTTTTTACACTTTCTCCTTCTCATGGTACCATCGTGTTTCGATGGGATTTCGTTTTATACCATTTTTGCTATTGCAGGATCATTGACTCAAGACTCTTGAGCTTCTTGCGCCTTGGTCCACTTTCCGGCACTCAGTTGGTGTTGCTCAGTTTGCGCATCAATGACGTAGCGGTTTGCAAATCATGTCATGGACGTCAGAGGAGTTTATTGATTCAGGAACAACCACTGGCAAATGTAGGATTTTGATATCTTAATGTATATGATTTGGTATTTCAAAAAGTGAGCCTTTGGCGCGCGCAAATTTGTTCATTCCATTGTTCGAGAAAGAGGCTGTTGACTCTTCACAAAAAAGTGAAGGTGAAGGGGACTCGACTAGCGCCCCGACCTCGTCGCTCTCCCACGTGGTACAATAGGAACGACGGGCTGTGATTCGCCAGGATCGACCAAACAATACGGTGATATGAAAGTTACAAGCATCTTCGAGCTCCAGAATGGGACTTTGTACAGGAAAAAATCACGCACTATTGTCCGACGTCTCGACAATGGAGAAAACGATACACACGGGCAGCGCAGGGGTCTAGGGCTAGTATAACATCTCTACAGCTTCTGGTCCTTCTCCTCCTTGCAACCTACTTTCTACTCACCAACTTCTATCTTTGCTCAATTTCTTCTTCTTCTTTTTGAGTTCCCTTGCTTTTGACGCTGGTCGTCTCTATATTCTCACACTCAAACGTCTTCATCACTCGGTCTGGCACCGCTTCTTTCGAGCTACCATGTCTTCACCCCAAACTCCTCACTCTCCGGCTCGCTCAGAGGCTCCGGATGCAGGTGGTGCTGATGGACGCAACGTTTCGACTGTTCTTCCTGATGTGCCTGTCGACGGCAACCCCGAGCTACCTGCCTTCAACCCCTTCGAGCCCATTGATTCCGGTCTTCATCAACAAGACGACGGCTTGGGTGATCTTTCTGGGTTCCAGTTCGACAGCGACTTTGCTCAACACCAAGATCTCGGTCACAACGATCAGGCCAACGACCAGGCCGACAATCACGGTGCCGTCCACGATGCCTTCGCTACACTTGCAACAGCATCCACCAACAACCTCGACTTCGGCATTGGAAAAATGGACTTTGACAACACCGCGTTCGACTGCAACGAGTTCACCGGCAACCAAGACAACGCCGACTTCACTGCCACCAAATCGGAGCTATCCCTACAGCATACACTTGCTTCGACTCAGACTCAAGATGGAGGCTGCGTATCTACCATCGAGGAGCACACTACACAAGCCTGCAACGAGAAGCCGCGGGTTCCAAAATACAGCAGTTCTGATGCCGAGTTCAACTTTGAAGAGTTCTGTGCACGCTTCCACTCTGGAGAACTCAGTCCAGCTCAACAGGTTAAGGCTGTCGCCGCCTTGTCCGCGAAGAAGAAGAACGCCGTATACCAGGATCTGATGCGCTCTTTTGGATTCCAGCCGGCCAAGCCACGTGCTCCGGTCCCTGAGGGAGCTCTCACCGAGGACAACTACTTACCCATTCCATGGGAGCCCGAGGTAGATGAGGATGGATATGAGATTATTCCCATCGAATTCCAAGCTCTCGAGCCTGATCCGGAGTATCCACCCTTTCAGCCCATCTATCCAGCATTTAGCGGACGCTTCAAGACTGGCGCAGCCGCTAGAGCATACCGCAAGCGTGCCCGCGTTCCAAAGAAGGGTCCAGCACCAGATGTCGAGCGCGTCAAGAAGTATGGACGTAAGTCACAGCATATTCATTATTTGCCCGACATGAACTAATCTGATCTCTTCCTAGGCATGTACTGGGTACGCCGTATCTACGATTCTATCATCGACATCTCCGACGTCCGCGACGGCGAGAAGTCGATCAACGTCGTTCGCTTTGAGCAAGAGGCGTGGGATCCCACGGACATCGAGGCTACGGCTCACCACATCTTCGACGAGGCCATCGCCGTACACACGCGAGGCTGGGTTCGCCCCAATATCTACCACAAGAAGGTGGTTCGCGGCAAGCTCATGGATATCAGCGAGGGGAGCGCGGAGAGGCGCTTGGCCCGTATCTGTTTGTTGTTGCGGCACGTGAAGGCGGCGTGTGATGATGCCTTGCGTGGAGGTCTTACTCTTGCGCTCTTGTGCGACAACCCTGAGGCTAGGGGCTCCACCAAAGACTCGAACAACAATGGCAACGGAAAGCGTGGAAAGAGAATGAAGGTCGCGACGAAGATTTTGGGGGCTGGGTTCATGATTGCGGCTGCGGCGGATGACGAGAAGCCTGACGAAGAGCATGGCGAGAACGAAGAAGGCGAAGGCGAAGGCGAGGAGCGAAGTGGTGATGAGGTTTGATGGTGATGGTGGCGGCGATGGATGCCAGATCTTCACTGCTTTTCGATCCATTCTTTTTGAGCTCTCTGCTTGAGCGGCTGGTCCGCACAAGAGGCTTAGATGTCCGTTCGATATCAACTTCCATATCACGTAGCCTTTTTCAAGCTCAGTAGAACTTGACACCTCCAACACTTTCTACTTCTTGTTTCGTGAACTTGGTACTCGGTGTCTTTTGTTGGTCCTTATCCGGTGTTTGAGTGGTCTCTTGGATAGCAGCATCTCTCTGTGCCTTCCTCCTCTTCTTACTTTGGAAAAGAGCCTCCTCGTCCTGGATATCCTTCAGAACTATGACATGTCAGCTTTCAGACTGTCTCTAAACATGCCGTGTTCCAAAGTGTTGGCTTACCCTCAGCCCATTCTCTTTCGTCGGCCTCATTGCCCGTTCCCAAAACCGCTTCTACAGAGACGTCTTCCCCTCGCTGTACACGCTCAATGACCTCTTTCAATACCCCAATCTTCGCTTCGGCTTTGCGAAGGTTGTGTGTCCTCTCCTGCTTCAACCATAATATCTGGATAGCCTGGCTGCCAACGAGCAGTCCAAGAATGATGTACGGGGTAGCGGGGTTCCAATCTTTGCGCCTAGGTCTCTCAGAGCGCGTCTTGAGTGGCGTTGGTATCAGAGAGGCCCAGAAGCTCGGCTGGACAATGCGCGGGAGGGACATGAAGCGTGGGTGCGACAGCGGGGGTGCGAACATGGCGAAAGCGCGCGCATTCGGACGCGTAGGCGCGAGTAGGGCGGTACGGTGGCCTACGGGCATGCGTAGCAGCTGGCGGAAGAGTCCGGATGGGTCCATGGCTAGACGTTGCTTCGACAGGCGGGCTCAGGGCGCGTGGGATGGAACTTTTGGTCTCTCTACCATATTTTCGGATGCAGCGGCTCGAAGTAGTTAGCGCTGTTGGAGATACCGAGGTCCCGCCTGCATCTCGCATCATTGACACTGCTCCATCAGCGTCATGTCTCTTTCCATTCACGACGCTCGAATATGAGTAGATTTGCAAACAAAGAAGGCGCAAGAGGAGCCGCAGGAGGCGACGAGGAGGATCTGTCGCCATTTCAGAAAGTGTCGCAATGGTTTGAGGCCATACGCGACAGTGATTACGATGCATGTTACCTTGTTGAGTCCATCACGCAGCTCTAATGCTATATCTGTAGGGCCACGATGCTATCCTTGCGCGAGAACTCAAGGTCGAATCGGTTACCTATGCGCCGACAAGCAGCAATCCTCACGAATCGCGCAACGTCATGAGCTTCACTGTGCCTAAGCAGCTGTGCAACGCTGGTGGTATGCTTCATGGCGGAGCCGTGGCTTTGATCTTTGACATTACGACTTCCATGGCCATTACGCCTTGTATCCGCGAAGGGTTCTGGGATGGTGGACATGTCTCACGTAACTGTAAGTGCAATCTTGAAGCACCCAAGAGGTTGGAATATGGAATGTGCTAACTTGGCATAGTGAATACGACCTACCTTAGGCCTGCCGCTGAGGGCACAAAGGTCTTTGTCGAGAGCTGGGTCGTCCATCTTGGGAAACGATTAGGCCAGACGAGGGGAGTGATGAGGCTAGGGTCTGAAGACGGCAAAGTCGGCTATACCTGTGAACACGGGAAAGTGAGCCTGGGTAGTAATCTGTAATAAATGCAAACGTCGGGGGCTGATAGAACGAAAGACGGCTAATTGATGCACATGTTGTGAGGTGATGGGGATTGCGACTAGTGGACCCTGTATGTCATACCTAGCCGTGTAGCCAACCCCAGCGCCAATGCATAGCTGCCATGGCCATACAGTAGGCTTCCCACGGCACCTGCGACTTCCACTACCACGACACCCACACACACCCAATCATTGCGCCAATGGACCTTGGAGATGAAGGGAGCTCTCCGTGGGGAGGTATGTGTCTCTGGTCTTGCCGACGACACTGCGCACAGCTGACAAGTCTCCAGATGTGCCCTCACGGTCGAGCCCTGCGCCGAGTACTCACAAAGTAGAGCAGAACGACAGCCTGGACGCCGAATCCTCCACGACCTCATCCAAGCCAGCGACCGATGCTGCCCCTACAGCCTCCGCCGCCCCGCGCTCGCCTGCAGGACGCGGCCCCAGAAGGCGACAGTATGGCCTGCAATCCACCAAGCTTGAGGCTGTGGACGATCCGCTGGGCCCTCTGGGTGCTCCCTCGCCGTCTACAGGCCCTGAGGTTGCTCCTCCAGCGCCGCCTCAGAAGGAAGCTGCTGCATCGCGCACCACTCGGGCCGCCCCCGACGCCTCCACGCCTTCGCTGCGCGGCATGATGGATTCGGTCGACCTTGATGATGACGACGCGCAGCTACGCTCTTCCCAAGGAGCCAGAGTACCGCCCCCAGTACAGGCTCCTTCGAATGCCGCACCCCAGCGCCAGATACAACCAAGCGTCAGCGTGGAGCAGGCCGCGAAGCCGTCCTTTGCCATTTCGGTGGGCGACCCTCACAAAGTCGGTGACCTCACGAGCTCGCACACAGAATACTCTGTTACTACCAAGACGACGTCCAA